GTACATATATAACATTTACATCATAATACAATTCACACATATACGCAAACAAATACGGTGGACAAACAAAAAATATATAAGCAAATACAAAATTAAGTTAATAAATGACATATATTTTGGTAGTTTATAAAGTTTTATATATATATATATATATTTTAATTTGAACAAGTCTTAAGTTGAAAACAACGTTCAAACCTATGATTGCGTTGGATAAAAACCGGAATTTTTATACGTATGCATGCAAAACAAATTTCTTGGTAGAGGGGTCTAAATACAGCACAAATATCATTTTCCATAAGACCAAAAAAGTGAAAAAGTATATTTTAACAAAACGCATTTGACTAGCAGGTCGAACAACGGATGTTCTGAAAAATTATATTTTAATTTGTATACCTTTCCATTTTTTACAAATATTAAAAATAAAAAGTACAACCGGTTAAAATAAGGATCTGCTTTGAAAACGTAAGATATTAACTTCCACCAAGAGAGTCTTGTTTGGTTGGTCGTTTACTTTGTCTGCAGAGGAAGGCGTTGTTCTTGAATCACTCCTGTCAGTGACGGTACGTTTCCGTTCTATAACTGGGGTTTCAAGGACAGATGTTGGTGTATAAAGTAAAATCACAAAATACTGAACTCCGAGGAAAATTCAGAAAGGAAAGTCCCAAATAAAGAAATTTGCTATCAAAGCACACATTTTGTCTTTTCCTTCGGGACTTATATGGACACCACTTACGTCACTTGTGTCGAATATTGTTCGTACAGTAATTCCCGATTTACAAAACTCACCGTCGATATCAACGTAGTATAGTTCCTCGTCTATTGAATAGAAATTTTTAATGAAGGTATTAACTAAGTTAGTTGTCTCGTTTAACTTTGTGATGTTGTGACCTTTGCTTTTGCGGTGCAAAACACTGCAGATACCAATATGTATCTTGGGAAAAGTTTCTTTGACTTTCGCTATTGCTTTAGTGTAAATAATATTCACATGATCACTGTCATCTCGGTTTTTTGTTATGTCATTTGTCCCAAAACACAGTGCAATTTTGTTTATATGAGTGAATGATGGATTAATTTTCTTACGACCTAAATTTATACACATGTCTATATCGTCCAGAGTGGCTCCGGAGATTGACGCATTGACAACATTTTGCTGAAAGTCACCAAGAAGTTTGGCATTTGATGCACCAATAATGAGGTTTACCCTGTCTTTTATATGTTCGATGATTTATGTGTAGGGTGCATTGTGTGAGATGGCTTGACACCAGTTTCAGCAATTGTTTCATTTTCATTAAGCGAAGGTAATGTTTCGTTAATTGTTGTCTCAATGGACGTTTCACATGTAGATTTATTTTGCTCATTCTGCATCGATTGACGACCTTCTAATATTTCGGATGTTTACGGACCAAAGTCATGTTTTGCCTTTTCAAAAGCAAAATTTTCACATTCTGATCGATTGTGACCATCCTGTTTGCAAAAACTGCATGTTGGCTGATTTTAGCAATCCCTAGCAATGTGACCATTCTGTGTGCAATTATAGCAATATTTTTGTTCCTGTTGTAGCTTGGGGTTTTGAGGACAGGCGTACCAAACGTGATTATAAGATTTGCAGTATTTACATTCTGTATGATGATTGTCTGCAAAACGACGAAGTTTGTTCTGTTCGGTAATGTGGACTGACAGTTTAATTTGTATGTACCTGGTCCCATTTTCAATGGTCGTACCTTTGATATACCCCTTTGAACAGATGGTGGAATAACATTTCCGAAACGAAGCATCTGGGTTGCAAAAAAGCAATTATCTAGTTCGTATGGTAAGTCTTTTACAGTGACATTTGTAATATTTTTCTGAACATCATAAAATGAAACTGATCTGTTCTTTAATGTTATTCCACTTGTTAAAAGATTTCCCTTAGATTCAAAATCTTGTAGAGATACTATGCAGTTAGTTTCCGTAAACTGGATAGATTTCACATCATCTAGACTTATAATTTTCTTTATTTCCCCTAAAACATCATCGTAGGATGTCCTTCGGAAATATTTTGTACTAAACTGTATGGAAAAATCTCTTCTGGTAGGGGACATTATGTTTAGAGTTTGTTTAGAGTTGTGAGTATATTCCAGGAATGCATGTAAACAAGTCAGGTTTATACCAAATACTACCAAAATGTCACAAACTTTTGTAGAATCAATGGCAAACCACTTCCTGACGATATAATCCTGAAGATAAGAGTCCAGATCAAGCAAATAATAACAGTTTTTCGAATTTTTCCCGAACCTCAAAAAACACATCTTCATAACCAAGGGACATAATTCGATAATTTTGGGATTTTTATGAGACAGCTATTCACAGAAATCCAACACTCAGCGACGTACAAAAGTTTAACAACTTGAAGTCACTCCTACTGGTCGGAGCGTTGCAGACCATAACAGGTTTTTCTATGACAAACTCCAACTACTGCAAAGCTATTTTATTGTTACAAGAGAGGTAAGGATAGATTCATACTATAATACAAACATACATGCAATCTCTACTTGATATTCCGCCGCCAATTTATACTTTAGCTAGCCTCCGCAATTAATATGACAAAACCGAAACTTACCTACGAGGTCTAGAGTCGCTCGGCCAGACAGATGCCATAAATGAGTGATCTGCAAGAAAGTTGCTAGTCGACCGTATTCGGCTCCAGATCGACAACCTTCACCTAAAGACCGACTTACAGAAACACCCCCGTTTACAGTAACCGGAGTAGATTTTACTTGTGCCTTAAATGTAAGAAACACAGATGGACAAACTAGTAAAGTATATATATTTGTTTATTTACCAGCGCAAACATCCGTGCTGTACATTTGGAGGTAGTGATGAAATTATCTGAACAGACATTCTTATTAGCGTTTCGAAGATTCGCCAGTAGAAAATCATTGCCAAAAACAATGATTTCTGACAACGCTACAACATACATCGCAGCCGCCAACCAGATTGAGGAATTAACACGTTCACCATCAGTTATAGAAAAACTCGGCACTACATGGAAGTTTATACCAAAGAGAGCACTATGGTATGGTGGCTTTTGGGAGAGGCTGATAGGACTTACATAGGACTGTATCAAGAAGACATACTCTGATTAACGTTGAACTATTTAGGACCATCGTTACGAAAGTTAAGACTATACTCAACGACAGACCTTTAACAGATCCGTTAGATGAACCGCTCACCTCGTCGCACTTGCTTTACGGACGTAGGATAAAATCGCTACCTTACCCTGCGAATCGAGAATTGGAACATTCACTAAATGATATGATCAATAAATCTATAAATAAACTGTTTAAAATGAAATCACAGATTATTCAAAGTTTTTTGGTGTAAATGGAAACATGAATACTTAACATCTACGAGAATATCATCGCAATATGGGGAACAATAAACAGCTGATCAGCATTGGAGACGTCGTACAAATATATGAAGATTCGCCGAGGATCAAATGGACTCTAGCTATGTTGAAAAACTCAATGAAGGAGGAGACAGACAAGCAAGATCTGCCGTCATACGGACTAAAAATGGACTAACATCACGTCCGATCACAAATTTTACCGACTTGAAGTCAGTTTAAGTAGTGATTGTATTAACAATAAAAGTGATGTGGACAATATAGACTGTGCAATTAAAGCATGTCGCAAAGCTAAGATGGTTGCCAGGAGAAGATAAAGAAACGGACTAAGTGAAAAATATAAAGACTGAAAATGAGTAAATAGCGAGATTTAATATAGTTTTCCATGGACATTAATTCATTTGAGAGACGCTTAAAGTTTTCAGTTATTTTATTTTTTTGATAATTCATTTCAATGTAATTTAGTAATTTTTTGCCAATTTCACTTTTGTGCGGCCTCCAGTATGTCGTAAATACCGCACACATGACGTTTACTTTGTATCGCGCTTTATGTAAGACGTGTTACTATAGCTTTCTAATACATCTATCAAATAGTCAACTGACTGAAATTCTTCATCGGAGAACCACATATAATTCGTCTCAACGTTAGCCTAACAATGTTAGATCTACAAATTTGCGTTAGCAAACTTTTGTTCTTCCCTCAGCATGATGCGAACCCTTGCTTCTGTTACATCATGGCAACACCGCCTGCACTGTGTTCCGCGTCAAAGACCACTTGGTCAACTGGGCTATATAAAAATATAGCTTTGGTAAGTCGAGTAATGACTTTCCTCGTCGACTTTATCTAGGATTGTAACACAGTAATCGAGTTTTCAATATCCCTTGATATTTTTCGGAATAAAATATTAATCTCATCAAAGATACCAGGCTCATAATTTGGTACGCAAATCGCACGTCTCGTCTTAATAAACTCATCATAGTCGCTAGAATCAAAACAGTTAGAGGGCCAAATAAAATACGAAGTTGAAAAGCAAGAAAAAATGAAAAAAATGACTTTATCTTCTTTGTCGTAAATTTTATTTCTTAACTAACCATTACAGTCAATTTATTGCTGCTAGTTAGATATGAAGCAAAAATAAGTCTATATGTGAAGCATTTGTCATACACAGGTTTGTAAGGAAAAGCAAATAAAAAATACGATTCGGGATTCAAGCAGTCTTTCACATTTTCAACAATTCAACAAACAAAATAAATCTTATTTCATATGCAATCATCAGGTGTTACAAACTTATATCTCCATTTTAACTGTTTGGACTATTTTTTTTTTTTTTTAAGCGACACTTAGACTTTAGTCAGAAAATTATCGTTTCCATGCCAAACTATTGATTTGACAAAAGACAAAAAATACGTAAACAGATCTTGTTGAAATGCAAAACATTTCTTTTAATTCATGATACAGAAACATAACTGTGCATCCCCAAACGTACATTGACATGTTTTTTTTTTTTTGTTGTTGGTTACTCCCTCATTGACCTAAATGTATATCCTAATCTACTGTTAGTCATACTGATTGTTTGTTTAAATAATTTTGAATAAGATATTAGTAAATGCTTACCAGGTGCAAATCCTATTACAAACAATGCTAGACCTAACACAGCCATCCAAGAGTATTCAGTTGGACAATAATTATCTGCCCAGGTAAAATCTTTCATATCATGCTCGTAGTTTTCTTTATTACATCGAAAATTTATGGAGAAATTACCAGTACTATTTTTAAAACTGAAATTTGGATCCGCATATCTTTCTGGGTGATCTGAATATACGGGAAGGCATGACCCTGAGGCAGTTGGGTTGTCTTTAACGTAACAAAATCCACAGTCTTTATTCCTGACACAAGGATCGCATTTCCTAAAAAAAAATATTTGAAAGTTTTCACGTCAAAATAGAATGGAATAAACTGACAACAATTCAAGGTGTATTACCATCGCAACTAAATTTAACAAATGATTTTGTAAATATTATTACTGCAAAAAAGGTTGACATCGCTACCCAATGCCAATTTCAAATCATTCGATTATCACGCACACATACTACTTGTAGTTGAAATTTACCAAGCTACATGGTCTTTCATTTACAGTTCAAACATCTATTATATTAGTGTGCGCAAATCCATTGAATTCAGTAAAATTTTCGTCAAAATTACCTACCAGCATTTCAAATCACTTTTTACAAATAACAAAAAATCTACATTGAACTCTAACCATAAGAGGGACTAGAGTAAAGAAACATGGTAACACGGACTTCTCCTTTCCCGCAGCATGACCCATGGTGAGTGATAATCCGTTTAGCAAAAGTATTGATACGAAGCCATGTCAGTTTGTAGTTCACATTAATGAACCCTGGAAACAACATTTTAAGATTCCGTTGCTAGGAAAATGTTTCTGCTCCTATCAAATTTTTAATTTTATCCATCCAGATTGCATTTCCAATTCACTTTATTTATTATTATTCACTTGGCTTCGTCAAGAACATGCATTGGCATTACAAATTTGTCACTTTGTGGTGAGAAAACTGCAATTAATGAATAAAGAAATCGACTGCAGTGGTACAGGTATACATGTAACAACTGATGGTCCATGTATACCTCAGTTTGGTTCAGTTTAAGCAATAGATAATATGAAAATAACCCCCTTTTCTGGCTATAGATATGTTGTAAAACACAAAGAACACAAATTGGTTTAATCCTTATTTAAAATGAACTGAAAATGTCAGAAAAATGAATTTTTTTTATTTATCTCATTTCAAAACCAGCAAAATATTTAATTTGCATTAAACAGTCACTTGTCGTGTCATACGATAGTTAAGTTACTATATATCTTATACAACAAAGTATATCTTTCTACACACTGAATACAAAAGTATGTGGTTGAAGATATTTTTCTTGTGACAAAGGGAATAAAGAAACATCGTCTCGATTTATACAAGTGATATCCGGTAATAAGCTGTAGTAATTATTATTGTTATTCCGAGATGCACTTTATTTATACTTTTAAGTGGAAAAAGAACTAAACTTAACAAATAAATGCATGTGATGAAATTATGTTATTCGTGAAACAGTTTTTAAAATGTTCCTAGGAATGACAACAAATTGAAATTTAAAATGTTATTGAAAAAACGAGCAAATCGAACCAATTATAGAAATGAATTATGTCTAATAAGATAAACTCATTATAGATACCAGGATTAAATTTCGTACGCCAGACGCGCGTTTCGTCTACAAAAGACTCATCAGTGACGCTTCAATCAAAAAGTTAAGGCCAAATTAAGTATGAAGTTGGAGACTATTGAGAACCCAAAATTCAGCTAAGGTGGTCTATTCTTTGTTCTTCCAGTTAGAATGATTAAAAGGTATATCATCATTTTAGATAGGCAATTTAAGTAAAGGAAAATGACATTCATTTTTGTCATAAACGTGGAGATGAGAAATACGTATATCCCTTTGAATGATGGTTATATAATGGTTATTTAAAGATAATTCTAGTTGGAAACCATTCATTTCTTTGGTCAAACTGTAGCCATTGGAAATAATATATGGTCTATAGAGAGCTAATTATCTTGTAATTAAAAATGTTATTAGTTTCTGAAGGTTAACCATAACAGAAAAGTATCAAATATAAAATGAGATCAACATAGTAGTTAAAACATTAACCGTATGCAGACAAAAGGTCCTTGTTAGTGATGATATCTTAAACTTATCTGACTTCATTCAAACTGAGAAAAAACATTTTACTTTTAAATGTTGAAATTGGGATAACTAAATGTTTAGAAACACATACCATCCATGTGTGTAACATCGTTTTAAATTAACCGGAAAAAAAGGATTTAATGCCTTTGTTACTTAATTTACTTCCGGCCTTACCTTACTAGGTCTTTAAACTCATGCAAAACTGGAAAAGATCTGTAAAGTTACCTCCCCCGATAAAAGTACAGTATTTCTAATAGTTTTTGTCAATTAAGCAAAAAATAGGAAAACAATTCTCAGTCAACGGCAATAACTGCTATACAGAGTCGACTACCGAAGTCGACCATGTTGAATTATCTAACCTTATTCCGATGATAATTTGTGCTGTATACATTGTTAACTTTGCTATCTACAGTAATGTCGACAATAACGCAATGGTTAAGAATCGTCTTTCAAAGACAATAACTCTTTTTAGGATTCATGACGATTTCGGCAATGTTGTCATTTTGAAGATCGTGTCCTACTGAACTTGTTTGCTGTTTTCATCTTTACTCTATCTACTACAGGTTTTGCCCAAAAATCTTCAAGGGTAAGGGTTCTAATGACGATTTAAACAAGGTTGACTTATTTGAACATATTTGCCCTGCTTACCATTTTTACTGTTCACATTGTCTCTCTATCTACTCAAGTTTCTGCTAAAAAGCACAAAAATAAATGATTAAAATTGCGTTTTCAAGAGCAAACACTCCTATAATGAGTCGATTGATAATTTTGACTGTTTGGCTTATTTGATAATCTTTTCCTGCTAAACAGTTTTACTTTATCGATTATAGTTTTAACGATAATAGCCTTAATCGTGAAAATTTGGAATAAAGCCTAATTGTTCGGCATTTATTTCTATAAGGACAGTTTTTGATCAAAATGGAGGGTTGGTAAATCTTGACATTCAGAAATTTCTGACACGTCAGACTTTCTTAATCGTTAATGGTTTGAATATTTGGACAATATTTGCATATTACCCCATGTGCTATTTCTATACTTTATTGCAAAGCAGGTTTGCAGGTGGGATCATGGGACATTTTTTATACTAGATAAGCCAAGGATGATTCTGGTCAAGTTTGCTTTCAAAAGTAGTTTTAGAGGATCAGATTTTTGTAAAACTTAATGGACGATGGACGCCAAGCATGGGTAAAGATGCGAATTTAATTTCAGGTAGGCGGTAATGGTAGCCTTTTCCTCAAGTCCTCTGCCTATATCGTAAACTTGGATATGTATGATTGCTCGTTTCGAAGCTGAGACATTAACACAATTTTGGAAAAGGTTTTGACGCCAAGCTATAACTTTAATATGCTTTGGCCATATAAAGATAAACCCCTTTCAAAGATTCCAGAAATGTAGTAAGTTGACATCAATTGGAAAATATAAGTCTTAGAGACCAAGGGTTTTCAATATTTGAATATTTGATTAGTGTTAGTGAATTTGATGCAGGTCAAAGTTGAAATTGGTTATCCTGTATAGACCTCCCTTTTATTATAAAGCTCCTAACGTTGTAGCGTATTTACGCAAACTAGGCTTTCAAATGTTAAAGTTGGAGCGTTCCCGATGAAGGTAAATTCGGAAAAGTGCTTCGGACGCGCGGAATTTATGAAGTGTTTATTTCATTTACTAGCACTGGGTCGATCCCGAGTGTGGTGGACTGTTAACTCAGTTGTAAGTGCTTCGGTACTGACATGGTTTATATCATATACCTTATATTTGAAATTCTCTTTTAATAAATTAGTAGATATAAGAAGATGTGGTATGAGTGCCAATGAGACAACTCTCCATCCAAGTCAAAATTTATAAAAGTAAACCATTATAGGTCACGGTACGGTCTTCAACACGGAGCCTTGGCTCACACCGAACAGTAAGCTATAAAGGGCCCCAAAACATTACTAGTGTAAAACCATTCAAACGGGAAAACCAAAGGTCTAATCTATATAAAAAACGAGAAAAGAGAAACACTTATGAACCATATCAACAAACGACAACTACTGAACATCAGATTCCTGACTTAGGACAGGTGCAAACAAATGCAGCGGGTTTAAACGTTTTAATGGTACCAAACCTTCACCCTTTTTCTAAAACAATAGTGTAACATCACAACACAGAAAGACACACTATAAAATATCAACTGAAATAGCTTAACTCAATCAAAGGACATATTAACACCATTGAACATACACTGAACAAATAAATTTGACCTATGACACAATGTAAATACAAAATAAATAAACAAACTAAGGGAAGAATAATAAAAGTAACATGTTATATCGGTAAGAAATGTTGAACAATTAATGAAAAACAATATGCTCGAACAAAAATATCAGCCTAGGAATGTATTTAGAAACTAAGGTTCCAACTCCCTGTGGTAAGTAAACCTTAGATGGCTATTCTGTTTTGGTCCCTTTTGATTATATAGCTCCTACTAGTGGAGTGACATTAACCCCTACATTTTATTTTTGATGCGCCCACGAAACACACGACTATATAATATACACGGGGGGGTCTCTTCCTTTATAAAAGTATACACAGACGTGCCGCTGGTATGGGTCGCCTGTTTGGAATGTCAAATATATAAATGGGGTGCAATTTTACGGAGGTAGTATATTGTTATGATATTGTAACTATCATGTTTATTTATCTTGGCCTAATTTGTTTTGTGTGGCCTTATAAGATGTTTACATAGTAATTTACAAAATAATGTTATAATTGTGCAGTTTAGAAATCACAATCATAAATACTGATGGAATGATTAGAACTTTTTATTTGACTTACATAATAATTCCGGAAGGATCAAAATCTACGATGCGTAATTTAAACTTCTACAGTATTCTAGAAGTTTCCGTGATAACTATATATACAGACACCGAAATTAGACTTATGAGACATTAACATACTTGTATTCTCAGAAGTTCTCTGGAGTTGTTGGATTGATATTTTTATTTACGAACATCATACTAGATTCTGAACTCATTGGACATATATATTACATTGGATTCTGTACAGATAAGAGAAGAATTCCGGATAAAGGAAAGACAAAGGATCGGACATATATTGTAACAGTTAAGTTGACATTTCAATTTCTATAATATTTCGTGTAAAATTGTAAATAAATCTTGTTAAATTTTATTCTAATATGACGACCTATATATCGTCAACGAGTATAATCACAATATATCTACTTTTAGCGCAGACACATAGATAAATGTACACAAAATTGGCTGTTCCGCGTTACGCTAATGTTATTTATACGACCAGGTAAACTCAATTTTTGACAGTAAATCCCACGTTTAACGTAAGCCAAGCTTCGAATACAATACGGTTATCTCTATTCTGATGCAAAATAAACAAATCGGTCCATTTAAGTTATTATTTCGATGTAAAATGTCGTAAAACTAAAATTCCGCGAAATGATGGTATCGTCTTTGGCAACTAAACAAGGTGACGTCATATGTATGTTTCCGGTGTCAAATGTAAACACCGGACGTTTTAAGGCTTCTTGTACGCCTCAGAATGAAATAAAATAACACAAAAAGAACAAATTTAAATGAAGAATGTGAGTTTTTTCATTTATTATTGAATAATATTATAGTATTAATATTATTATATGTGGGGTAAAACGGAACAGCCAAAACAGCATCGTGTGTATAGGGTTTTCACGGTTCGCAAAATTTCAGAATGTGTCCTATTAGAATCGAAATAATTCATGGCAGCCGTAGATTTGTTTTCATTTAACCATGGGTTGGGCATTTATATTCATATTTATTTAATATAATTTATTATATGAATGATCCCATGTGGTCTAAATGAAATGTCGTAAAAGCTGGCAAATATATATACATGTGTTGTGATTTTCCTATGAAATATATGCATGGGTAGGGATTTTCGCGTAAATCAATATATGAATGAGGGTGTTTTATAAACCCCAGCCGGACGTCTGTACCCAAATTTGTATGTCGAAACCCCACCCCCGTGATTATATAGCATTCGAAAGCTTATCATCTGTACTTTCTGTTTTGTTCGGTCGTACAAGTTGTTTTACTCATTAAACACCATGGACAGAACACTCGATGATTGGAGAATGTTGTTTCTTATTCATACTTTGACGAAATGACTTATATATGACGAATATATATATGCTTATTTTTTTTTTATTCCCCTAATTACAAATAGGTTTGGAAGCGATTATACACTAGGATTTTATTTTTCTAAAGTATACATAGCATGATAACTTCAGGAGGACTTACGAGTATTCACATTTACTGGGCAATCCATAGGTTTCGTTATGTGCAACAGGTGGCGTGTGGATTACTGATAACTGAAAGCCGACAGCTAGGACAATCAGTGCAATGATTATACCTGAAATAATATAGAGAAAAATATTTTCACTGACTGCATAAATTAGGCATAACTGTAATGTATGGTTTATTATTATGACAGGAAGTATTTTTCTGACGGAATAATTCACCTGTTGTGAGACTCGCTAATTTTTTCTTTTCAAAATGCCAAAATGCAGATGATGATAAAAAAATAATCAGTTTTTATCTATTTTGTGCAAGGTTTTTTTTTTCAGTTCTTACCCGGCCAGAATAAGTCTTTCCTAAATCCTCTCCCCTAAGAATATCAAATGGTTGTCCCTTTTATTCATCACTTGTATAACAATCTGTATGGAGTTAATAGAATAGAAAATAATGAGCCAAAAATAGACAAAAATTGGCCTTAAAATAAAGTAGAGAATAATAGGTAGCTAAAATATAAAGAAAAGAAAATAATTTGCAAAAAATAAAAGATAGAGGAAAACGGCATAAACAATTAAAAATACAGACAGGGTGGCCACAAAATGAACATAAATGACGTAATTCGTATACATAACTTAAACAGCCGGTGTCTCATTTAGCAGCTTTTATTTTACCTGATAACATCAGTTAAACAATACAAATAATTGAACATTGAACTTAATTCATTTTTTATGATGTGAAAATTTTGTATTGCTTTTCTTTTAGATTACATACCAAATTTATGTAGTATTTTAACATAAAAAGAAGTGAAAAGTTGGAACTGCAAACTGGTACTCCCTGAGTTGCACATTTATTGGGAGAAAAGAGTTTCAATTCAAAGAATTGACTTTGACACTTGACCTTTTGACCTAAAATTGCAAAGAAATTCATCCAAAAAAAGAATATTTTTTTCTCAGTTTTTAGTAAGAGTGACATTAGTAGTTGACCTATTACCCAAAATCAATAGACTTATTCCCTTCCCCTAAACTTCCACAACCAGCATGCTTATTCAGTAAGCTAAACATTTTCTTAATTATCAGTTATCTTAGTAGGTCGGCATACAAGGTATAGAGTAGCATAGTGTGTTGGTTGTGATTCGGGGATGGGTGTCTTCTTCCCAAACGGGTTATTACATAATATTCTACCAATTGTTTTGTCCAACTAGATTTATAGTTGAACAAAATTAGGTAATTTGGTAGAATCACTTTGGTCCTTAATTTGACAAATTCGAAATAAAACGATTTGTTTTAAATATACGATTGAACAGATGCATAAATGTCTCATAAGTTATCATACCACATCTCCTTATTCTCGCTCAATAACTTATTTTTCGTGCAGAATTTTGAATACATTTTTTGTGTACACATTTTCCATATTTGATCCTACTAAAATCTGCGAATTTAGAAGAAATAATTAATATCTAGTTTTATTTCAGCAGTGCCTACCATATTAATTCATTACCAGAAGCATCCTATAACTTTGGTCTAAAATTTATTAAAATAAATGAACTTGGTGAATGAAGACAATAAATAAAGCTCACAATGGCTAAATGTGGCATCAAAACCGAAGAAAAGCCTAACATCAAGAAATATTGTATATTCCGCGAGCACTTCTTTAAAACAGAAAATTGTCTCATTCCTAATTTTTATTTTTCTAATAATGTAAACGATAACCAATCGAAAGAAAAGAATAGTTTACAACAAAATAAGGAACGCATGAAACAATATACTCTTGGATATTACCATTGACTTTTTTGTGCACTGATTAGGTGAAGATAAATGCTTTATGGCCATCTATATTTTCTTTCTTTATCTCATATTACATTTTTTGGCTTTTATAAATTTTCATTTATTTCCTTTGGGTGTATTTATTAAATAAAGGATTCGTAACTGATTTAATTAAACAATGCTTCCTGTATTTCAAGCAGTTTTATCTAAAAACGCCTTAAAAAATTTATGAAAACTTATTTAAAACTATATTTAAACTCCTCTCTGAAACCCAGTCCACAGATTCCATTTATAAATTCATGGTGTTACCTGATAAGCAGTAACAACACAGGCATCAGGTGGACTCTCTTTAACTATAAAGAAAATCTAGACTATGCAGATGATCTGGCCTTACTGTCACATCTAGAAACACACATGCAAGACAAAACCACCAAGTTAAAAAGAATGCGACTATGATTGGACTGAATATCAACATCAAGAAATCAGAAGTTATGCCTCTTAACATCTCAGAGCCTCCTGTAATAGATTTAAATGGGACACACCTGGAATGCACTTCATCTTCCACTTACCTGTGCATCATAGTAACATATGAAGGAGGAGCAGACAAAGTCATCTGAGCCAGAATAGGAAAAGAAAGAACTGGATTTTTAAAGCTACGTCACATATGGAAGTCTAGCAACATCAGTAAAAACACCAAAACATCCAAGACAGAATGCTGGCGAATGATCGTAAAGACATCAACAAGCTTTCCAGTTTTCACAACAGTTGCCTCAAAAAGATTTTAAGGATATTCTGGCCACGCAAGATCACCAACAAAGACCTCCAAGAAACAACAGGATCCAACAACATGGAGATTCTACTAAAGCAAAAACGATGAGATGGATTGGTCATGTTCTACGAAGACCAGCCGAGGACTTGCCCAGAGATGCCCTAAGATGGACACCAGAAGGAAGAAGAAGAAAAAGGACGCCCCAAAATAACTTGGAGAAGAACAGTTGAAGCTGAAATGAAAGACCACGGAATCAGCTGGGGCGAGATAGAAAAGAAAGCACAGAACAGTGATGAGTGGAAAGGTCAGTCCTTGTCCTATGTGCCTCCGGGCATAAAATGGACTAGGTAGATAGGTTACCTGATAAATTTTCGTATAAACGATGAATATAAGTCATAAGTTCACCAACATTCTTTAGTGATGCTCGAGGCCAAAATATTTAAAAAATCCAACACCTAATAAAAACGTTGAAGAGCTGATAAAGACAAAATAGACTTTAAGTATAGTAAAAAACGGACAAGACAGGAGGAATATATATTCCTTCAGTTAAAAAGATTTCTTTTTTTTATAACAGCAAATTTTAATCTAAAATTATCCGTATAACATGCCAGTACCAAAGTACCTGCTACTGGGCTGGTTACACCATCGTCGACTAATAGTCCACCAGCAAATTATTAGTGGTAGTAATAACATTAACGGTACCAATTTAACTGCGCATTTCGACAATTAATGTCTCCTCGGTAATTCATGAGGACAAACTATTTGAACGTTGAAGAGCTGATAAAACAAAAAAGAATCTAAAGATTAGCAAAAGAGAAAGACAACAGTAATCTCTTGGAACAAATTAAAATGTCCCTACATTCTATGACGTTGTAGCATGATAAATGATCATTCATCATAATTTTTAAGATATTTTTGAAAAATCGATGCATACCAACGAAGCTACCCAATGTCAATATTCTTCTTCCGGCTCGCTCTACCAAATATATTCCAATAAATGTTGCAAGGAAATTAACAGCAAACGGCACGCAGACTAACCAGATTGCTAATTTTGACGGAAATCCAGACATTCTCAAAATACTGGCACTATAGTATCTACAAAACAGATAATGAATACATAAGAAAACATGCATACAGAGAATATCATATGGCTTTTTTCAATAACACACCTGTATCTACTCGAGACACCAATAGTATTTGTTGTGGGTTGCTACGGTGTGGTATATTGAAAAAAAAAAAAACAATACATAAGTTTAATATAAATCTATAAACATATTTTTTTACATATGTAATCTGTTGGGGTTTTATAAAACCTGTGCAATCGTGACTGATATCCATATCATCCCGGATGACTGTTACAGAAAATTACTGTTGATAATATTTCACTTAAACTTTACTTGTATTATTTTACTAATCGGTATATAATAAGTAATATTACTTTCTATTATGTGATTCGCATAATGAAGTTGTATATTAATTATTACAAAGGAGCAGGATAAGGTAAAACATTTATTTCTGGTTACAAATCTTCTAACAAATATTGTCGGTTGATAAAATATTCATTTAATCTTATAAATGAAGGACTTTTTTTGTGATAGTATGGTAAACTATCTGCTCCATCGTATGGCGTTCACATATTTCAGTAAATACGTTACGCTCGTGCATGTTCACGCTATATGTCTTTATAAGCATGAACGTGTCCTTTATACAAAAGCTGCTCCAACAGAGTTATGAGGAAGAACGACTGAAATAGACACTAAATAAATTTTACAGTCATTATTACGAATTATTTGACCGATACGATGTTGTTGTCTCAACCCACTTGATTTCGAGCGATATTTGATCCTTATATACCAGTATAGTTGTCTGATCTGTAATTTTACCAATTGTATTCTATTGACGATTTTGTCATTTGAACTCGCAAGTCGGATGAAGCATACATACAAAGCTGGAGAGACTTACACTGTTGACGCACCGCACCTTGTTTCGCCGCAACCGTAAATTGGATACTATCAAAGCGGAGAAGGAGAAAATAAACAAGTTAAGATTTTCTTTTAAATTGAAGAGATTAGCGCTTGTGAAATGTTTCTTGTGTTTTATTTTTTTCGACCAACAAATACCAAACAAAGACAAGATTCTGTGTTATACTCAAAATTTTGCACCTGGTATTTAATATATTTCGAGGTCAATCGACTTCCGTCGCACCGCAGTCCCGCTATTAAACTCTTTCTCTCGATAAATTTTAAGTATATGACAGTATGACTTCAAATTGTCTGAAATTATTGAACCAATATTTGTTTTCATAAGTGTTTTCTAAGGAATATTGGTGAAAAAGCTCAGAATAAGAGTATGACAACTTGCTCGACTTGACAAATGTACTTGGTACTAAAATAAAATTTTTATATCACGTCACTTTCTAGAATTAGGCTAAAACTGGTATTACATCTAGCTAAACCTACCACTTGTATGACATTTGTTTATAGTAACTGTTATATGGACAAAATTGGGTGAGCCACCCAAACAGACATAATTGGTTTATTAGGCAATAATTTTGACTGATTGATATTTAACAAATTTAAAGTATCTACCTTCAAGTATAAATTGGTATTGTTACTTACTTTCAGTAACTGCGAGGACTCTTAGATGTGTACTTCGGTACGTAATTTTTCATTTTGTTATTTGTAGTGTGTTCAGTACTGATCTAATGATCAATAAACTTTTACATTTTGATCTAATGTTGTTGTGGTATACCACTGTCAAGGGGAGGGCTGAGCGTTACAAACTAGTTAAACCCTACAACAAACTTTAAGCTAGGAGCCTGAAGCAAGTGTAATGTCGATCGTTGGTACAATTTCGTCAAAAAGTTCGTGTGAAAAAACTGTTTATAAACATTACAATAATTTCGTGATATGAAAATACAAACTGTCAAACAGAAAATAGCCAATAAAACATGTAAAAAATAATCTTGATGTTCCTGTAAACCCACTTTGAAGGATTAATCAGTCATCAGCTGTCTTAAAATGAATATTATTGCACAGTAACTTTCATATTTGAAAAATCCACCGGGGTCAAAATGCGAAACCATACTCTTAACTATGAAATTTAAAATATCAAAAGATGCGGAAATAATAAATTCAGAATTTTCCCAAAAGACACTTAGGAAATAACTGTAATATTTTTTTCTGTCTATGAAGAAATAACATCAAAAATGTGGTGCACACTGAATAACCCGCGTAGCGCGTTATTTCAAAGTTAACAACATTTTTGAGGTTATTTCGAATAGACAGAAAAAATATTCGTCATTCCTTATAATTTAATTCTAAATTCCATTTTTAAGGAGTAAATCATGAAAAAACGTTGATGACGTCACGGTCACATGACAAAATTGTGTCTATGAGCTGATAGACATATAACTTTCAACCAATCAGAAGACGTGTAACATCCAAAATTGAATTATTGAGACATACAGAGAACAAATATAAAAATATTTTTCAAAGATATTCAAACCAAAACTAAACAGTTAAGAACTGTTTCTTTTCCAAAAAGCCAAAAACACCTGAATATTAAGATGGATAATGAAATAATTTAGGCATGTATAAGACAACAAGTATAACAGTGGAACGTATATTAGAATCTATTTAAGAACGCATAACATAAAGTAACCAAGGATGTGACGTTACATGTACATAAGGAACACTAAAGTATAACGTTATGTTACGTGCAATTAAAGTCTTCACATTTCTCCATTTCTTCAAACGTTCAGATCGTTCATTTCAAATAAAATACTGTTTGAATAAATTAATGTTCATTATAAAGTTTAAATTTTACACTCCATATTTCACTTGTAATATCTATCATCTAAATCACACTACACAGTCTCTAAATCTAGCAGGGCTCTCTTGGTTCGGGTAGGCCTCTCTTCGTTTTCATGCAATCGTGTGTTTATCTCCATTCGGTTTAGAGTGAATCAAAATTCTATCTCGCCACTTATAATTTGAGTTTGGAAAATCAATGTTATTTGCGAGTTTGAATTGTGAAGAATCACGAAACACTTTTCTCCCGTTTGACTTCCGCTCAGCTCCAATGCTTGATCCTGATATTTTGTATATAATATACGGTTCGGGTTCATATGTAGTTGACCATTTATTCCTTTTCTCTTGCTTGAATAAGACACGGTCACTGACTTTAAATGAATGTTCTTTGTATTTCCTTTTCTGTGAATGTTTATTTAAATATCGTTGTTTGTATTCCTTGTCTCTTTGTGTGATCTTCTTGTTCATGTTTTCGGTTTCATTTCTGTTCCGTATGTGGTCTTATTTAGTCCTCACTTCTCTGTTTTTTATACTATTATCTTGTCTTTTATGTACAAATTTTACATTTCCGCCCTGAATTCATAATTCAATTGGCTCTTTCAATGTATCATCTTCTTTTATTTGTAGCATGCCTATTTCAATTAGTTTTCCTTCCTATAAGTGGTGGTGAATTAGTTTTTCCTTTAAACACAATTATTCTTGTTTTTATCCCTCGTGTTGCATTTCTCACTGTTGTAATAAATTCTCCTTTTACTGGTAAACTGCTTTGTAAAGTACTCAATTTCGTTTTGCTTTCTAATAATTCAGTTCCCTCTATAGTTCTGTTTTTGTACGCTCTGTTCTGATACTCATCCATTACGCTGACGCTGGCTCCACAATCTTGGTCTATTCTCACTTGTACATCGTTCATCATGACTGGTACTGTTTTTGCTTTGTCTCCAATGGAAAGTACATTCATTTTCTTAACTGCTCCTAAATGATTCATTGTATTTCCGAAAAACTCTTCTTCTGAATTGCCTTCTTCGCTAGTGTCTTACATTGTTTTTCTGACAGTCCTACCTTGATTTCTTTTAATGAGTCTTTTATTCCTAAATCGGTCATTACTCAGGTTTACGGATGTCATTTTCGATTTGCAAACTACAGCAAAATGATTCCATTTCTAACATTTGTTACACTGTTTTCCATAAGCTCCACAATCTTCAAGTCGTTAAAACGAATGTGTTTTCCCACAATAATTACAACCATTCCTCCTTCCATGTCACATTGTGTGTGTTTTCTCTCTATTTTGCATGCCGGAATTTCTTTGTTTTCCTCCATAGTTCGACACTTTTGCTATTTCTCCGGCTCTTGTTGCTGCATGTAAATCTCTCATGTCATGTATCTGCAATATCTTCTATCTGGTGCACATCTTGTAATATTTGATCAAGGGTCCACTTTCTGTTAATCGTCTTTTTGATTAGCGATTCATTATCTGTAGTTTGAATATTGTGTTCTAAAATTCTGTCATCTTGATTTTCAAACTCACAATCAGCAGCTCTCTCTCGTAGTCGTGCCGCGTATGCTACTGTTGACTCTCCATTTATCGGTCTCATTTTCAGAAATACATATCTTGCATAATGTTTATTCTTCTTCGGAGCAAAATAATCATTCAGTTTCTTCTTCAACTTCTCATACACATCCATGCATCTGTCTACGGGGTCAGGTGTACTTTTCTCTAATCTTGAAATCTCTTCACCTCCGTAAATAATCATTGCGTCCTTTTTGTCCTCGGGGTCTTTAATGCGAAAATATCGGAATTTTCTTTCTATTCTTCTAGCCATTCCTCTCACTGACTTCATGTGGTGAGATGATCCTCCGACGGTGTGAACGGTAAAATTCTCAAATTTCTTTTTTCTGTCACAACTGTAATTCTTTCAGCCTTTTTCTCCGTTATACCTTTAAATCTCTTCTTTTAATCGCTTTTCATCTTCTTTTATCCTCGTCGCCAATGAAATAACTTATGCATGTATAAGACAAGTATAACAGTGTAAGAATATGATGACGTCTTGAGAAGTCCCGTGAAGGATGAAAGCGCTAGACTTTTAATGTTTGTGTTTATTTTAATGTTAATTTTATTTCAAATATATAATTCTTTGCATTACTGAATTAAACAATTTATATATATTCTATAATATATAAGTACGTCTAAACAAGTGACAACTCTACGACAGATCCATCCATTGAGTGAAGGTGATACACGGCTGAAAACACATATTCATAATTACTCTAAATATCAGCACAACA